AGCTTTATAATGACAGGCAAATTAATATCCCCAAGCCTAAATCTCCTGTTTGTAAAATGGAGATTGTAAAAACTGTCTCATGATGTTAATGAAAGGATTTAATGATATACACCCTGGTAGCTACCTAACACAATGACTGGTACATAGTGAACATTAGTTACCCATTGCTACACAATAAATTGCCCCCACATTTAACAGTCTAAAGTAACAAACGTTTAGTATTTCACAGTTGCTTCACCTCAGGGATCTGGACATGGCTTAGTCGTATGCACCTGGCTCAAGGTCTCTTGCTAGGTTGCCATCAAGCTGTTGGCCAGGGCTGGTATTTTAAAAGCAAGACCCAGCTACCTGATTAATAGAGCAAAATGCTCCTTTTGCTAGATAATATTTTCCAACTCTTTTTCAAACTGTTTTCCCCCCAAACATACTAAATGTATACAACATCCTCCCATTAATAAGGGTGATTGGGATTGTGAGGGCAATGAATTCCAACAACTGAAATGAAAAGAAATAAATCTATAATGATCAGAAAGTCCAGTCCCTCAATGTCTCTCTGATTTTAAGCAGAAAAACACTGAATTGGGGCAGGCAGACTGCCCACAATTTAAATTAATCATGCCCCTATGAATACCACTCAAAGTAATGCTAATAACAACACTGTCATCAATTGAACATCTCCATGGGTCAGGCAAAATGTATAAGTGATAGCTTTCATGCTACTGGGTGCTAGGCAACATGGGACAATGATCTCTGAGAGACAATGAACAACAGAGTTGAGGCATTGTATTGTCTCTGCTTACCAACCTGAGTGAATTTCCAGACCGCAGCATCTCCCGAGCCCAGGAAGAACTATATGGCTAGGGTATGTGAGACAGAGATCTCGGGAGACAAGAGATACTCAGAACAAGAACTCCCAAGATGTGCAGAAGGTCACCTTTGAGATTCCATGCCTACTGCCCAGCACACCCGTGTGAGGGAACCACCAGATGCCATGGAAAGAACTGCCCAGAAGGATCTGAGCTAGTGCTGAGAAGTCACAACAGAGCTTAAATAGTAGTACCTGATCCCACCAGTAGTACACAGAAGCATCTTGTCTCAGGACTGAGTGAAAAATTAATCCGGGACTATTCTTGTCCTTCTTGACAGATCTCAAAAATAACATCCCAAAGGCACAGCTTCATAGTAACTTTTAAAAGAGCTGAAGCCAGCTTTAAGCCTTCGCTCTTCCAGCTGAAGTTTCAAACAGCTGATTCCTCCTGTGTGCCTCGTCTGAATTCTTGAACAACAGAAACCACAAGGGATAATGTTATTATTGTTGTTTTAAGACTAAAATTTTGGGGAAATTTGTTATTTCACTATAATTAAGTACATAGATCTCTGAATTAACAAGGGCAGTATCTAAGGAACTTCCCCTAGACTTGATTGTAGACCAAAAGATACTGAACTGATACCAACTGAATGAAACTTTTTGTAGTCTATGAAGTGGTAGTATTTAAATATGGAAGGAACAGGAATCATAGAGGTCAGAGAATGAACTATAATGATTTTAGTAGCAATGGCCCCTGCTCCCAAACCCTTCCCTCCAAACCCTCCAAATCCTCATGTAGTTCAAACCCTCACATAGTTCCTTCCAATGCTGACGCAGAATTTCACTAAGTAACTTGCTTTGGCCAACAGGATGATAAAAAATGTGATGCCAGCAAAGATTTGAAAAGCACAAAACCACATTAATATTTACCCTCTCTTGCTGCCGGGACCACTGAGACTCTGTGCAGAGAACATGGTCTCACCATCTGGAGGATGCAAGGAACATCTACAGAAAGTGGTCCAGCAATCCCAACTGTTCCAGCCATCCCATCTGAGGTCCTGGACGTGTGAGTGAAGCCACACTGGATCATTCAGCCCTAGTTGAGACAGCCCAAGCCAAAAGAAATGCAGCCAACAGAGAGAGCAGTGAGAAATAATAAATCACTGTTTAAAGCCATCAAATTCTGTAAATGCCTTGTTATGAAGTAAATGCTAACACATACAGTCTCTGAAAGGACCCCAAACTACATATAACTCCAAGGATGCAATAAATTCTTCTTTCCCCATAACTATAGATTACTGATGCTTTATTCTCAGTTTCTAAACTGCTTCTTACTAAATGAATCCCCATATTTGAAACTTATTTAGGGAATTCATTTACTTTTCTGGCTTAACAGTTCCTTCCAGAATCCACGTTTGACATTTACCCTTATCTATTTAACAACAGCAATCATTCTATGCAACTCAGTTGTTTTTAAAGTAGATGAGATGAGGAAGAACCTCAAATTATGCCAATGTTGCCTCAGATGTCCCCGAAATGCATTCTCTTCCCTTCATTCCAATCACCTTTGACTCATTACTTTAGTACTTGCTGGTTTCTTGCCTATGTAACTACATTTCATGAAGCCTACCAGGTTTCTAGTTTCTCCTCTACAAATACACTCTCCATATTATCACCAGAGTAATCTAAAATTAAAAGCCTGCAATAGATTGTCATTCAGGTCTGCTAAAGGGAATAAAACTATACTTAGGGCTCACTAACTGCTTGCTAGGCACAATGCTAAAGCTGAATAAGCCAATACCTGCTCTCAAGGAGTTCCCAATCTCTTAAAGTGGGACTGACATGTAAAGGGATACTTTTGATACTTTTGGTGAACAATGTTATATAGAGGGAAACAGAGGAAGAAAATTTGTCAGGAAGCCTTGCTAAATAATAATTAAGAAGTCTGAAGAGCTGACTGAAATTAGCCAAGCATTGACATACAAAGGGCTGCCAGGCAGATGAAACAGCACAGCAGAGACACACACACTGGAATTACCAGGCTCAGTATAGGAACTGCTGCAAACCTTTCTGTGTCATTCCAGGTTTAATTCTGAAAGGTAGTATAGGGAAATCGTGTCTCAGAGAGGGGGAAAAAGGGCAGTGGTAGGTTATAGGATATCCCCCAAAGTTATCTATATCTTAATTTCCAAGATATGTGAATATTAAGTTTCACAGCAATGGGGAATTAAGATTGCTGATGGAATTGAGGTTGCTAATCAACTGACCTTGAAATAAAGAAATTGCCCTGGGTCATTTAGATGGGCCCAGAATAATCAAAAGATTTTTAATTATGGGAGAGGGAAACAGAGGTCTGAGTCAGAGGGAGATCTGATGATGCTACACACTGGGTTTGAAGTGGGGGGGAAAGGAAGCTTTGAGAAGCCAGAAAGAGCAAGGGCATAGATTGTGCCCTACAGACTCCAGAAAAATGCAGCCTTGCCAAAACCTTGATTTCAGCACAATGAGATTCATTTCAGACTACTGACCTCAATTATTGTAAGAGAATACTTTTGTGTTGTTTTAAGCCACTAAGATTGTGGTCATTTGTTACAGCGGCAGTAAGAAACTAACACAGGGACCAAGCCCCAGAGCCTGTTATATGCTGTGTGTTGTCTTCCTGGGAGAAATTAGTTTAATGCAGGGTAGAGGAGTGGTATCAAAGATCAATTTAAAAGAAGGATTGTTGGGAACAAATGGTGGTAGGGAGATGTTTGTTGTAAGGCTATGGCAATCACACAGACCAAAAGAGAAAAGAAAAAAAACTGGGAGAGTACTATAAAAATAGATAAGAGTGAACCAATTAATTTCAGTGATAAAATCAGGATTTAGAGATCAAATGAATGTGGGAAATAAGGGGCAAGTATTTAGGAACATTGCTTAATTTCTGACTTGGGAAGATACTGCTAATGTCACCGGGAAAATGCAGGAAAAATAGGGCCTTTGTTTTGTTCTGTTGTGGTGGAGGGTGTTGTGGTGGGTTGAGGTTTGACTACACTGAAGTTGAGATGATCGTGACACATCCCTGTGGAGACCTGGCAGTGGACTGCATCCCAAGGTCAGATTTCAAATTCAGGAGCCCTAAGCCTATGAGTAGTATCAAAACAAATAGAGCAGATCTAAAGGAGCATTTATGGCTTAAGAAACTGCCTCTGGGGACACTCTCTAATAGTAATTTTAATTCTTCTTTAATCTTCGAATTAAAAAATGTTATTATCCACAAGGCTGTTGTCAAGTTTAAATATGGTATTTAGCACAGTGTCTGGAGTTAGTAACTTCTCCACCAATGGTAGGCATTATTACTAAATGGCCCAGAAATAACAGAGAACAACTGGGTTAAAGACTAAGGGGCTAAATGAAAATTCCTGAAATCAGGTGCAGTCTCTCCCTTCAATGTGCTCACAGTCTACTTAGTTCCTTGAAGAAAGCATTATATTTTACCCACCACTGAATCTCCAGTGCCCAACTCAAAGACTGACCCAAACAAGTCAGGTACTTCATACATTTTGGCTTAAAGGCTGAGAGGAGAAAGAGGGATACAGGAGAAAGCAAGGTAGGCAGACAGGAGGCAGTGGAAGAGAGAAAAGAGCTAGAAGAAAAGTGGAAGACTATAGGAGGTGGCTGAGAGGAAGGCAATGAGCCTATAGGAAGCCAGTGAAAGTTATGTAAGATCTGGAGTGGGAAGAGGTTGAGGGGACCTGGGATAGGATGTGGTCATAGTGCCTAGGAGGGGCACAGGTAGAAAGGCCTCTGGCCCTAGAATGGATGGTGCAATCACTTTTGGAATGAATGAATGAATGAATGAATGAATGAATGAATGAATGAATGAATGAATTCACTGATTTATGGAACCATAGGTCTTTGGAGGCCTGGAGAAATAAGCTTTACATGTTGAGATTTTTGGTTTGACCGTTGATTTCAGAGAGAAACGATATTTAGACTGTGAGTCTCTCAGGTCAGGGCCCTAGGACTGGTATACCCAACTTGAGGCTCTCAAACCTCAAGCGTGAGGGGCCAGCCTTCTGAAGGCTCCACCTTTTGGGGCTCCGCGTTCGAACCTGGAACGCCACGGGGGCGGGGCCTCGGGGACACTGGGGTACTGGCCATTCCCTGTCCGGGCCGGACAAGGGAGGAAGAGGGGCCTGTGCCCACCATGGACCTATACCTCAGCGCCTGCTCCAAGGCTGCCAGTGTTGCCGCCACCAAGACAGCCACCAGTAGCGTGGCCGACGGCAGCCAGCAGTGTGGAGATGTGAGTGGCAAGAGTCCTGGCGTCCTTGGCTTCAGTGGGATGGGGCAAGGAGAGCCAGACCAGCTCCCTTGGTTTCTAACCGTCGCTCTCAGAGCGCCCTCGTGCGGCGCAGCAGGTAGTGGTGGCCACAACTGCCTGGTGACCAGACCTGAGGTCTTCGGGCTGTTGGCCAGGGTGGGCCCCTTCAACCCTGAATGTATGGCTCTTTGGTTCCCTTGGTTAAAGTAGTTGTAGATCATCCTAAACTAAGTAAATAAAACCTAAAAGGAAAGAAAAAACTCTCCGATTGTACCCGACAGGGCGTGCACAAAACCCACTTTCCAGGGATCGGAGCGGCTGAACTACTGGATCTGCCTCTTGGGGTCAAGCTGCCCATGATCCCAGGGAGCAATACTTTATTCTATACGACGAAGTTAAGTGAAAAGGTAATTTTTGGCTTAGCGTTGGTCACCTTTGCCCATTTCTATGTGCTGTTAAAGTCCGGCGCTACATTATACAAAATTCATTAAGGGAATGTGTATTAGCAGGCAGAGCAAAACAAAACAAAATAAAACAAAGAACAATCAAACCCACATCTACACCAAGGTATTGTTCAGGATTTATGCCAAGCAACTTCGTCTAGTACGACTTGCACAGAATCATGGGCTAGAAAGTTTAGATTCTTAGTTCTCTCTTAATTGAGGGAAACATTTTAACTTTTTTTTATAATAACACTTAAAATTTACCTATTTGGTGAGATTTCATTTACTTAGAAGTAAATGTTTGGTTTACTTCTAAGTGGAAAATTATTTGTGCTGCATGACATTTATGTTAGGATTTTAACCAATAATAACTTAACCAAAATTTTCATTACAGAAACTTCTGAATGATTTTATTTTGAGTGAATTTCTATTCCATACACAGAAGTGAGGAAAAATGGAACTGAAATGAGTTGACATGTTTAGGCACTCTAACCTCATTTTAATGGAAGAAGACTCTGCCTCCCTAAAGAAACTCCACGATTTGCCCCAACCTTGCTATCCAGTCTTAACCCCAGCCCAGAGCCTCCGCTTCCTCCAGTTGGATTCTTCTAGATGTTCTCTCACATGCCATGTTAGAGTTGCTGTGCCTTGACTCACCTTGCCCCCCAACCTGGCATACCTCCCCTTTCCTCTCCTCAATCTATGATTTTCAGCCAGCTTCAAGATTCTTTCTGAACCACCATAGACCCCAAGCTTATATTTCTTTAAAATTTACATTGCCCCCAGTTTGGGTAATTTTACTCAACACGACAATTCTATAATTATAATTTTATAACTTAAATTATACTGGGCTATAGTGTGTACATCCCTCAAACCCTTTCATGTTTTCAGTCCTCAGCACTACTCCCACCCTCCAACCTTCCCAGCCCTTGACTCAATAACTAACCCTGAAGGAGCGTCAGTACATTCTTTTGGAATGGTTTCTTTAGATTAATGTTGCAAAAAGTTCTACAAGGAAGAGTTCTAAGTGATCCCCTTACCCTTCTATGCTCTGTGATGTCAGAAATTGGTAGGGCTCCTTGATATTTGATACTTGCCTAATTAACATGTTTCTTAAAGTAAGTTCTGCTTCTGGAAAAAATACTCATTTTTAAAAACAAGTCTGGTCCTCTGGAATAGAGCAAGCTAACTAAAAACATGTCTACCTCATACAATTTAACTGAGTCAAACCCACATAAACTAGCTTTCCTGAAGAATGTTTGAAATCTGTATCACTCCTTTGAAACCTGTGTCCAAAACTGTATCTTTCTTTCCTCTGTTTCCTCAGATATATTGTTTGCTGTATTACCATTTTCTCTGTTGAATATTAATTCACTTGTCAGCTACTTTTTGAAAAGATGTTCCCTCTGTTCTTTATTACTTTCATTCCCTCAACTTGCCTTCATTTACTTATAGTTAGGCTCTATACCATCTCCTTGAAGACTGAGTTTATGAGAGTGTTCCCTTTCTTTCAGTAAAAGCTCTCACTGAAGTAATGCTGTATATTTACACTTTTAGAGGTTTTTTAAAAATGGAAACAAAGCAGTTATTTTAATTGACAACAAAAGGGTTACTCTGGCTCCACTGAATGGATTTGTTTAAAAATGTTCTTTGTTCATAGGTCAGTAGCCCAGGTTCGATCTTGAGAAACAGTTCATCACAGTTGAAAGTCAATATCTTAAAGGAGTCAACAGCTAAATGTCAATGTCTAGAAGAAACACTCACTCCAATTCTTGATTCATGTCAGTGTCTAAAAGAAACAAAGTCTAGTCCTTACTGGTTGCTGCATATCTGGTCTCACTGAATTTAGGGCATTGCCCTATAGAATTCCTTTCTTTGCCGTCTCAGGGAAGCACTGGTATTAAGGAATTATACTTTAAGATTTAGGCTCCTTGGAAGGGATGAAAGCCTGGTGTTAAGCAAGAATACAGAAACTTTCCAAGGAGTTCCCTTGGAAATGGAAATGGGAATAGGAATGGAAAAGGGAAAGCTAGCATCCTGTCAGGTTTCATCAATCTGCCTCTTTGCCCACGTATAAAGCATCCTCCCACCTACCTTAATGGACTTCTTTTTAGGATCCACCCAGCCAGGCTCCTCAGAATTTGACTCAACCCAGCTACTGCCAGACCGAACAGCAGAGAGGTCACACAGTGGTACCTGCAGACAAGTCGGGACTGGGGGGTCTTACGCTTTGAACTGGATGCCTGCGAACCGGGTTTGCCACATCTCCCACATCTTCCAGTCGCCTTTCACTTGAGCCAGTTCCTGCTTTGACACTACTTTGGACTAAAACTTCTGTGTTTTTTGGCAAAATAAAAAACTTAAACAAAAATAATGTAAAGACATTAGGACAATATCCATTCTTACTTCTATCCTCCCCTTTTCCCATTTCACAGGTCCTCCCTTAATGCATTAACACCATCCTGCTATTGAAAAATGGACTAAGAACTCACTCACACCACACACACACACACACACACACACACAAACCCATTTTTTTAATGTTTAGTTTACAGGTGAACTTAAATAACCAAGATGTTTTCTCTAAAGTAACAGATATAGAAACATGACTATTAGCTGATAGTTTCCTTCTTTTATATGTTAATGGCTATTGCACATGGTTGTATTTGGTCTTTGCAGATATGGAAAAATTGCAATTTCTATCAATATCCTTTATAACTGGTTCTTCAATATATTGAACTTTATAATTTAGATTTTGAATTTTTTCCTGACTATAACATTCAGAGATTGTTAGTTTTCTTGTATTAGATAAGATCCCAAGATACGGAAACGATTTAATCTATCATTATTAATATCTGAGTTCTTCTATTTTTGAAAAATTTGTTTCCATGAATCTTGAAAAAAGGTTTTCCATTTTTCTTCATTTTCAGAATATTGAGGTATAATATTCATAATTAATATTATTTCTATACCCTTGGAAAGCAGTGCCTTGACCTGGAAGTGGGAGGAGGGAAAATGGAGGACTTTAGTATTAACTTTATACATTTAAACAAATTTTATCTTATTTTATTTTATTTTCCTCACTTCCTTCCTTCTCTGGCTTAGGGCCAGGTACTGATAGAGATCAGTGGAGAAATTGAGTGAGGATGGGTTTTTAGATTAATTCAGATCAATGGAGGAAAATTAGGAATAAGCAATTGGCATTCACTAATCCAAATCTCTCTGTTGCTGGTTTTCTCCACTTCCAATTCTTCTTGCATGATTTATTTTTAATGGACATTCTAGGTATTTTAATAGGTTGATATTTAAAAGTGAAATTCATTAATTTTATATTTGTTATATTTTTAAATCTACGTTTGCAGCTTTTTCGACCTTCTTATGATTTTAACCTGAGTGATCCTTATTGTCGACTTTTGGGAAACCAATATAAAAGTCTCCATGATCCACACTTAAGAGCATACCACACACGCAAAGATATCCTGAGGAGATTGAAGAAAGGTGGCTACATCACCAGCAATAATAAAGTGGGTTGAAGATTACTTCCTTTTAATTACTGAAGACTTCCAAGACTTGATATAAGCTTGCTTCTATACCTCACAGGGGTAGCGGTGGGGTTTCACCTTTAACTTGGCCCTGAGAAATACTTAATGGGAAATTCTATAAATTACTTAATATTTTAGGTCAAGAGAAGTCAGATAAAAGTTGTTTCTAAATGATACTACTTCTTCCACCTTTGTTATTTATAATATCAAAAGATGATTACCAAATAATTTGAGGAGGTAAAGACAATTTCCCATTGGTGTCATAGTTCTCTGTCTGTGGCCAAAGATACTATATGCTTGTCAAGGGTTATATTCTATTGAATTTTTTCAAAAGTTGAGACAAAATAAAAACACAGCAAAATAAAAACACTGCAAATGCTCATTGAACATAAGAAAGCTGTATGGTCTAATTTGTGTTGAATATTATTGTTAGTTGGTATCTCATTTAATAACTCCAATTGTATGTACTGAATTTATAAATCATATTAATAAAGTAATGAGATTTAGAATAGAATTTCCTATTGTTTAACAATTATAGAGAGATACTACTTACAAAATTGTTAGAAATCTATTACTAAAATGTTATCAAATTGTATATTATTACTGTATTTTTCTTTAAAGTGATTGCTATAATTTTTAAATGTTTGTATTTATACTTTCTATTTTTTTTAGATTGTATGTAACTTGAGGGAATTGAATAAATACAGGCAATATCTTACCAGTTTAAAAATAGACTTTGAAAGAAACTATATAAGAGAACAAGTAAGTTAAATACTTAACTTTGGTTTTTAACATAGGGTTTGGAAGAAAAGTTTGTATAAAAAGTATTTTTTCATAATATTTTTACCTTTAATTTGACAAACCAATTAAATATTTTTTTGCTAATGACAATTAAGAACAGGAATAGATACTAATTTGAGGTTGCTATATTAGGCCAAGCAAAGGAAAGGGGCTAGGTCATCTATCAATATGCCAGTAGCAGTTAGCATAATTTAGTAACTAAATTGCTACTCTAATGTGTTCATTCTGTCTGAGCTGGGGCCAATAGCAAGAGTCTGTTGTGGTCACAAAATTTTTAAACTGGAACCCAAAACAACTTGAGTAACAGGAAAGGATCAGTGTAAATAGTTATAACATCCTATGAGTGACTCAAAGAACATGTACACTGTGTGTTTGTACCCACACCCATGTCACCCAGTAAAATATTATAAAGGTAAAGAGGAATGATTAAGTGTAGAGTGAGTGAGTATAAACAGTGATTTCCTTTCCATTTTTAACTCAGAATTAATGAGTGTGATTATATGTGTATGCACACACACATCCATGAGCGAATTCAGTTTTATGGTCAAGAGGGTTGAATAAAAACTAGAAAGGTATAACCCTGGCTGGTGTGGCTCAGTGGGTTGAGCACTGGCCTGCAAACCAAAAGGTTTCTGGTTCAATTTCCAATCAGGGCACATGCCTGGGTTGTGGGCCAGGCCCCCAGTTGGGGGTGTGGATATGAGAGGCAACTGATCAATGTTTCTCTCTCACATTGATGATTCTCTCCTTCCCTCCCTCCCTTCCCTTTCTCAAAAAGTAAATACATAAAAGCTTTTAAAAATTAGAAAGGTATATGTGTACTTTAATAAATTTATGTTCTTAGGTTGAGAGAGAAGCATAGAAATGAGAATGGTTTACCTATCCCTTTAAGTGTTCTATATTTTTCCCTATTTCCTCTCTGTGTCTAGAGTTTTTTCTGTCCTCCTTTCATATTTTTATTTAATTTTTTCAGAATGAATGGAAATGTATGATAAGATATTTATCTTTCATTTTCAGAGAGAGAAATCTTTACTTTGGTTCAGTTACCCATGTCGGTAATGGATTCAAAATAAATTTCAATGCAGTTAAACAAAATTAACTATTTAGAATATACAAGAATTTTACTAAACACTAATTATAAAAAGACATAGCAAAGGGCAGCTTTATTTCTGGTAAATTAAAAAAATATTATATACACGTGCACACACAGAGATATATGTATATATATGACACACACTTTTTTTAATAGAAAATGCTTGCAAGACAACTTAAAAAACTACAAGAAAACAATCAAATGCCTGCACATTCTGATGTTGCACAGTTCCAAAACTGGTTGTTACAAGAAGACACCCAATCTTTTAAGGACCAGGAGCGATTAATAAGACACAGGTAAGATTGAAGTTATTGTATATTTTATGTATACATGTAGGCTCAAATAAGTTGGAAAAATACTAGAAAGAGTTGGAGTTAGGAATTTTTTTAAGAACTAGACACTATATAGTGTCTAGTTCTACTATTGCCCTCAGTAGAAGAGAAAGGGAGACCAAGGGGCACAGAGATTGGAAGCTTTGATGGCAAGGGGAGGAAGAGAAATTTCCATGAGAGGTGACTGGGTTTCTTGGGAGTCCCTGAGGTAACATGAAATCCTTACTAGTTGGAAATGGAGAAAAAGTATCTTTCAGCACAAGCCTCTAACAATAGCTTCTATGATTCATCTTTAAAAGGTGAGAGCATTAAATTTGAGGAATTTAGTGCAAAGTCAAAAATGGAAGTTTGATAAAACTGTTTCTAATACCAGTATAAATACGCACTGTCCCTAAAAGAAAATGCATAAGCTTTATAGATATCACCTACTCATATTCAGCTATTACTGTTCTGTAGTCAAGCTCATATCTTAGGAGGTGAAGGGATAAAGGGATACTATAGTTCTTTTTCCTCTTCCTCTTTCCTCCTTCATTAAGGTGAGGGATTGGGTTTCACACCTGCCTTTTATATTCCATGATTTCATTTTGTGGTAGATGCATGATGCATAGTGATGTACCAGAGACTCAGACTGTAGATGGGAGGTTTGTTCAAGGCTTTGTAAATCACAGGGTACCCGGGATACACCTTTTTCTTAGGAAATTTAAATGTTTTTTGTTTCTAGATGTGAAGTCAATTTTTCAGTTGTTTAAAACTTCTTTGCCAGCTCATATCCATAAACCCAATGAGTTATGAATAATTAATGTGCACTTTTTTAATATGTCTATACCATATTTTAGCATTGTATTGGCCATAAGAACAGATACTTATATGGTAGGGAGATATGTATAATAAAATATGGTGAGAGCTAGTTTACAAGTCCATGAACAGAAGTGATAGAAAACTGTAAAATTCCTATAGTTCAAGAGCTAAAAAGTTGGCAAGGAAGTGGTTTGGGCAAGCCAAAGCAGCTGATGTCACTGCAGGGGAAACCCCCAGTTCCCCCTCACTTGCATTTGCACTTTCATTTAGGTATTTGGATATGATAAGCCGGGAGCTAGAACAACGTGAGCGCGCCGCAGAAGAGCAGCGCCTGCTCCAGATGGACCGAGAAGAAAGACGACAGCGGGAACAGACAAGAAGAAAACTTAATCTTCGCAGAAAAATTGAAGAGGTGAGGAGGTACATTTAAAATTTAAGAGAAAAATGGTGCACACTATTTTATTTGTAAATAATTTTAGCTGTCTCTCATACTTCTTAAAGTCACTTAAGGCCTAAATAACTTATGCTTATTAATCTTTCTTCACAGCTATAATACACAAGTTGTTACATAAAATAATGAGGCTGACACCATAAACTATATATGTGAGTCAATATTGGCTTTTAAAGAGATGATTGTGAAAGTTGCTAGACACCATTTAACTCCCCTATAGCCCCAGATGTGAGGAGTATACTTTTTAAAATTTAGCTTTCATAAAAAACAACCATGCCAACAGTAACCATGCCTGCATTCCTAATAGAAATGCAGTAAGGAAAGCCTATTTGAAAGCCAATGTATGATGTACATTATACTTGACCTGATTTCTGTCAGGCTGGTGACTTGTTTTGCTCATTGGTGATGGGCAAAATACAAAGGTTTACTCTAAACCTTAAGCATAGTAACATTGTGTTCTCTAGGAATGGAAGGCAAAGGAAATGTTACTTCTGAGTAAGATTGGAGAAGACGTTAAAAGAGAAGCTAGGATAGAGGAACAACGGCGCAGAAGCAGAGAAGAGAGTGACAAGAAGGTAGCTTTAACTTTAACCTCTAATTTGGGCTGTTAGAGGAGAGGCTTTTGTTAGTTTTGATTTTTGAAAGTACACAATATAAGATGGCACTGGATCAAATCCCCCAAATGATATGTACTGTACAAAATGGAGAGTTATGAAAATTTTACTATATTTGGTCCATATTATGTTCTGGCTATAATGTGAAAAGAACTGCCCTATTATTAGATATCACTATCTTTGACTTTATCTTAAACCATAAACTGTACTTGTAATTCCTATAAAAAAACATGACATAATTAATTTTTTCTTAGAATCAGAATTGCTTGAAAAGAGTTCTCAATTTTTATCCACCAATTTTTAGAGTTAGTGTTTTTAATTTTAAATGATACACAATATTTTATGATTTAGAGTCTAAATATGTATCTAAAGAGAGAAATTGTCTATAATCCCATCACTACCACATGAACTTACTGGCACACACATGTACACACATGCACATGTGCAGAGTATTTCTACAAATGTTTGCATACTACAAAATAAATAAATTCATGTTATACCTTATGGGCTTTTTTATAGATTGCTTTTTCACTTAATTAAATATCAATGACAACATATCCATCAAAAATCATTTAAATAACTTGCTTTGGTAGTTTATTTTTGACAAACCTAGAGATAACTGTAAGATTTATATAATTTGGTCATATTTATATATACTGCTATGTTAAAACTTTTTTAATACTGGAAATTCAAATATGTGTAGTATGATAATCTTTTAATTTACTTTTGTCATACATGTACCTTTTGCTATTTCAGGAACTCACTGCTCATATGGCAAGTTCAGTTTATTCCAACTTATTTTAATTATTATTTTTTTAAAACAAGGAGCTTTTTAAAAAGATTTTATTTATTTATTTGTAGAGAAGACAAAGGAGGGAGAAAGAGAGGAAGAGAAACATCAATGTGTGGTTGCCTCTCACACACCACCTACCGGGGACCTGGCCCGCAACCCAGGCACATGCCCTGACTGGGAATTGAAACTGTGACTCTTTGGTTCGCAGGTTGGCACTCAATCCACTGAGTGACGCCAGCCAGGACAAATCATTATTTTCTAATATTGAAATTTTCACCACTTTTTTGAGAGAGATTTCTCTCCAAGATGGTGGGGTTTTTTCTTTGTTTGTTTGTTTTTTGCCTTCAGACCTCTCTGAAAGTATCTTTGTTTTGAAAGAGCAACAGAATGCTCCAGGTTTCCCCTTAATTTTTTTCCTAACACTAATTCCTATTCAATGGGCCCTCACTAATTGTAGTGAAAACTAATGCAGTAGATACATGTTGGCACTAGGAGTACCCGTTACACATGACCACTGGTGGCAGGCCTGGTAACACCATAGACTGTTCAAGCTGTGTTAATGGCTAAGCTATTTGAAGTATTAGTATTTCCAACAGAGTATTCTAAATTGTCTTTTTAAAATCATATTTTAATACAAGATGCTTTAATTCATTTGTGTGTGTTTCAGAAAATTTTTATATATTTTTCTTTCAGATTTGACATTACATATACTTTACTCCAAGCGAGCTTAAATTAGTTACATAAGTCTTTAAATTATTTTTGCATTTGCATCTTTGCCAAAAATAAGTTGTGTCAGTCTATTTTTGAACTCTTATTTTACTCTAATTTGTCTGACTTACTGTCCTGGTTGTTGTATCTTTAGTAATTCTTTAAATAAGTAGTACTGTAAAGGCATGTAGGTCCCACTGCCTGCTGCTTCAAAAGCCAGTATTTGAGAGACAGGTGCTGATGTAAAGGCAAGTAGTTTATTCAATTGCCAACTCTCTGGAAAAGGAGAGACTCTTATTTCAAAGCTCATTTCTCTGGGTAGATGCGGGACTTTTGTCTCAAAGTCCATCTCCACAATCCAGTGTTGGCAGAGATCTTTATAAGAGGGAGAGGGGAAGCAGAACAGAGATCAAAAGAGAGGGTCAAAAAGTTCTCTATTAGCAGACAAGCACAGTCCATTCTGATAAGGCAAGTGATGGTCCAGTGTGCATCATCCTGGTTTGTCATCCTGGCTTCATATCATCCTGGATCCACAGTTGAAAGTTAACAAGTCCCCAGAGCTGGAATGACTGAAGGTCTGAGCTGGTATCTTTTGTAGTCCCTAGGATTCTTACACAAACATGTTGTTTATCTATAAGCTACATATTAGTCAGAGTCAGCACTTAGAGACACAATGTCAAGAGAATGGTGGAGTGGGTTACATCATATAGTCTATAAATAAATCGGAAACTGGACTACTCCCCTGAATATATACAGTGAAGTAAACTGCATCTTTGTGTTAAATGTGTATATTCACCATGTTTGGCCACAAATGGAAATTCACCCCTTAGTGTCCTCTCATATTTGTACTCAGAGTGACCTTACAAGTCACAAGACAGGAATGACTGTTGATTTCCAATGAACTATTATATTATAAATATTTATTTTGCATTTCTCAGTAGCAAGTTGATGTTAACCAATATATTTTCTGTGATGTTTTAGAAACAAGCCCTTTTAGAGAAAAAAATGGCTTATCATATACAAAAAATGCAAGAAAATGGCTTTAAAAGAGACGAGATGGAAAAAAGTACATATGACTACAGAGGACAGGATGAAACACATTGTGAATGTAAGAACATTGTAGCTGACATGGCTCTGTAGAAAGTACTTTTTACATACTTATCTAAAAATTATTTTGTAAAACTTTGTTTACTTATTCTCGCTCTACTTGCTTTATACCAGTAATAGTGCTAGGCATTTCCCTATTGCAGTTCAAGCTGAACAGTAGACACAAGTGTAAAAATTAAAACAAACAAAAATAACCTTACCAAGTGGTTCAGTGGACAAGCTTACCTATACTGTAGTTCTAACCAATTTCTCTATACCTAAAATAATGTATTTTTTGCTACTAAAACTTGAAAAGGCTGTGTGTAAGATGAGTATTATATACCAACATAGATTTCTGCTATGTTGCCAGCCAGAAAGAATAATAGACAACACCAGAGAAAAACAAAAGGAAGAAGGAAGGGAGGCGTTAGAGAAAGAAGGGAAGCAAGGAAGAATGGAAGGCAAAAGGAAGAAAGTGAAGAAAGTTTAAAGGAGGAGTATTGACTTTGTTATGCCCAAACTGTCCCAGCTTCCTTTTATTTGTATCATGATAAAAGTATAGGAGAATTTATAAAATGAATTTAGGTAATGGTATTAATTAAAATTTCATGGCCAGAATGGAAAAAAATATAGACTTATTTTAATTATTTGTGACTATGTAGTATCAGGAGAAACATGCTCATCTTCCATGCAGTAGTCATCACAGCACCCACCAATCCCATCTCTGTCCCATTAAGCCTGTTTTTAGGTGAGTGCCTCCTGTGCCACTCCTGTAGATTACTAATAGTCTGCACTGGCTCTTAATTTAACCCACTTGAAATCCATCCTTTTTAAACTGCTACCTAATTATACTTAAAACTTTATTCTGATGGTTTCTTCTCCTGGTCCTAGAACGTAAAGATCCCTATCACCTCTTAAATGAAACTCAGACTTCTTAGGCCTCCATTCCTCATCATCTCCAGTCCACCTGAAATCTAACTTTGTTTTTGCTTTGTTTCACATATCTCCTTGAAGAAAACAACTGTGACCTAAGCACTGCATATACAGACTCTTGAGACAAACTGCTGAAGTCCAAGTCCTGCTTTACCGTTCTCTAACCATGTAAATGGGTTGGACAATAGCTTAAACTCTATATGCCAGCATTCCATCATTTAAAAACAAAGATAATAGTCCTAAATAATTCCTATAAAGGATTTAAAAGTTCTAGCCCATAGTAAACACTCAGTTTATTTAACTGTCTGGTCAAATGAGACTACTGGCCATTCCTAAAACATAAATCACCTTGCATATTTTCTGTGCCTCTCTTTTCCAATTTTCTCAGACTGGAATGGCATGCTCACCAACCATCTATACAAATCTTATAATTCTTTAAGCTCCACTGTAAATGAAACTCCATAAAGTCTTTCATAATAACCTTAATGGGAAAAACCCTCTCCTTTGAATCCATATATAGTACTTTGTGTCATTCTTGATATATTTATTATGTACTTCTGTCTCAATCAACCATGATATCATAGTCTTTGTACTTGACAGAGTACCTAGTACTGTATGTACATATACATGCATGTATGTATGTTTGTATAGACTAAATATATGCTTGCCAAATGAGTTAATTCAATCTATTCAGCTCTTTAAGATGATGACAGCAATGTATTGCTTGAGAAAGGAAATCACTTTAATAACTATATACATTCCTTACTCTTCAACTGTTAACTGTTTCATTTAATAAGAAGAAAGTTTCAAGTAGACATTTTAAATATTTGTTACCTCAAAACCCCCTCTTTTGAAGAGATAAGATATAAACTTAATTTGTAGTATTCAGGTGATAATAGGATAAGAATACTTGTTTCATAAATGAAATTAAATGATACCTCTACAGTAATGTTGTCATCTTATGCAAAGTAGGCAGCTTCCAGGGGTACACAAAGAGAGCAGGAGAGGAAGGGCTTGTCAAGTGGATCTGCTCCAGTGGGAAGACAGATGGCCCTCACATTTTCCATCTCAAATAAAAACCCACTGAGCACAAATGCCGTGAAGATCCTTTGCCCTCATAAATGGTTAGGGACAGGAACTGTAATCACCTCTATCATGAAAAAGGGATATGTATGTGGTTGTTTATGCCAGGATATGAGGCACATCTAACAACTGCAATAGTGACTGTGGGCTGCTGGGTCTCTGGCCAGTAACTATGTTGGTATGCATCCCCACACAGAGGAAATTGCATTTTACCATTGAGCTGTGTGTAGCTTTTCCTCTCTGCCAGAAGAAAAATCTGTCCCTCCAAGCATATCATTTAACGTGAATGGATAATATTTCAAGAGTTATGTCTTTCTTTGTATTTCACATCTCTCTATTTACCACAATACCTCCCCACAGTCCCACATATAGATTAGCATATGGTTGAGTTACTCAAGGGCATGAAGAGATAGTCTATTTTGGATAATTCTGTCATCACTATTGTTAAACATAAATGTTTTATTACATTTCTTTAAGCTTATTTTCCAAAGAAGAAGAAGAAGAATCATGATGATATTAAGACAATTTATCCTTCTGGTGACCAGAAAGCAAACAAAGGTGCTTATGATAATTGACTTGTGTAATAAATACTACATAGCAACTTGGGAAAAGACTGTGTTTTGAGGACTTCTTTTACTTAAATGCAGAGAAATCCTCAAATGACTGTTTTAGAGTGATTCTTGCCAACAATGGTACAACCTATATTGCTTTCAGAAGTTGACTTCTAGTTATTAAGTTAGTGTTTTGAACTTAACATTACATTATCATTTTAGAAAAATTAAATGAAGGGCCTATTACTATTAAATGAACAGTACATGAAAACTAACAATTTGCAAAATAATTTTTATAATGCTCAAAATGATTTTTGAAAACTCTGAAGTGAATCATAAATGAAGTGCATTACCTGCAAAGCCACTGCAAGCCCTATTAAAATATCTCTTAATTATTTATCTCATACTGTGTTACTTCACCTTGCCTGTTAGAGCTCATTGGAACCCAAATGACAGCATGAAAATCCCCCAAATATTACACTCTCAAAAGTATAAGACTTTTCAAAATTAACAATATTAATCTCCTCCCACTGTTAAATTTCTAGGGAAAATGAAAATATAAAAGTTAAATCTCTTTGTTCTTATCAGTTAATATCTAAGGGGGGAAAAGTCCAAAATCCTCCTCCTCCGAGTACCTGGTTTGATTAGTCAGTCTCATTAAGGTTCAGGGACCTGAGAAGAGACAGGGTAGCCATAGCTGAAGCTGTATTTCATGCTGAGAACCACTGACATTGAGCCAATTCATCTCTAAGCTTTTTGGATCCCATTTTTAAATTACACAGATTTTTGTACAATACACTGAAGCATTCTTACAATACACACAATTTTGACAACACCAGCTCCACATCTACTAAAATATAGACAATAAAACTAAATTATCGGTCTTTAAACCAGTTATATCATATAGGATGATCTTCCAAAACTCTAATGTTTAATGCAGCCTGGACTGGACTTACTGATATCAACAAATCCCAGTGGTATTGAAGGAAAGGATGCTAGGTGGAAAGTATCATTTTCATACTCACCAGGTTACCTATCTAACTGTGACAACTGTCCAGGGATCAGGCCTGTAGATTTAAGTGTGCTTGGGAGACATATTCCATTAAATGATGAATTCTGAAATAATATTAATACTTATCAGGAAGGAAGAGGAACTTAACTACCTACTCTCCACTCTAAGAAGAATGGCATGTGAATCATTCTATTTTTTGAATTTTAGAAATGTACAGAAGTAACATCACAACTTATGTATTATTAGGAGTACCCATATTTTCCATTCACCAATATCAAACCTTCTCAGTTTCAGTTTTATCATTGAACCATGACTACAGACCCTATACAGTGTCTCTGCTCTCACACCCTTGGGGCTGGCAACTCTTCCAGCAGAGTTAAGAGCTCTGGATTCTATATAGTCTCTGCTTCAGATCTTGTCTCTGCATTTTTTCATTCTCAAAGAAAGATCCTGAGGTATTTTGCTTTTAAATACCTTAAAACAAAATAGAATTTTTGGTACAATTTCATGAATTTTAACATATGTATGGATTTGTGTGTCCTTTACCACAATCCCATAAGAACAGTTCCAACATTCTAAAAATTTCCTTTTGCAGTCACAACTTCCTCCCTCCCAGAATAAACCCAAACAACCACTGTATGTTCTACATTACCATAGTATTTTCCCTCTTTGGAGAATGTCTTATAAATGGGATCATAAGGCATTTGGCCTTTTGATAATGACTTCTTACACTCAACATAGTGCCTTAGAAATTTAATCAAGCTATGGCATATGTCAATAGTTTACTCCTTTTTATTGCTGAGTGGTATTCCATTATATGTATGCACCAGAGACTGTTTATATATTCACCAATCAAAGAACATTTGGGTTGTTTCCAGGTTTTAGTGATTATGAATAGAAAGGTTAGCAGTATTTGTATTCAGCATTTTGTGTGAACAAGTACTGGGTCATATGGTAAGTGTGTGTTAGTGTTTATAAATAACTGCCCCAGTTTTCTAGAGTGCTGTAACATTTTGCATTCCCATCACTAATACAAGAGAGATCAATTTGTTACGCATCCGTGCTACCATTGGTATTATCACTAACATTTATTTTAGCCATTCTAGTAGATGTAGTGGTGTCTCATTGTGGTTTTCATTTGCATTTCTGATGCATATCATGCTGATTATTCATGTACCTTTTGCTTTTTGTAAATTCTGCTTGGTAAAGTATCTATGGAAACTTTTTGCTCATTTTTAGGTAGTTTTCTTACTGTTGAGTTTTGGGAGTTATTTATGTATTCTAAATATGAGCCTTTTTCAAATATGTGATTTGTATTTTCTCTGTGTGATGTGCCTCTTCATTTTCAGTTCCACTGATTACCCCTTACCAATACTGTACTGTCTCAGCTGTTGTAGCTCTTTATTGTCTTCAAATGAGGTATAATTCCACTTGTCTTTTTTCTTTTTCAAGAATTTTATAGCTATTTTAACTCATTTGTTTTTTTCACATACATTTTATAATCGTCTTGTTTACAAAAGTTATGCTAGGATTTTTTAGAATGAAGTATATTAAATCAATCTATGTGTCAATTTGAGGAGAAAATATATTTACTGCATAGGGTCTTCCAATCCATAAATATGGTTATCTCTATTTGTTTAGGTTGTCCTTGATTTCCTTAATACATGCTTTACAGATTTCAGCATGAAGATCTTATATAAGTTGTATTATATTTATACTTAGGTATTTCAATTTTTGATGCTGTTGTACATGGCATTTTTAAAATTTGGTTTCCAATTGTCTATGGCTGTTGTTATTACTGCATAATTTTATACAGAATTTTTAGTTATTGGTCCAGATAACAAGGTGCTTAGCTTTTTACAATCAGTTATGAATAAATATTTTATCTCTCTAAGTGGAATGTGGAAAACTTGCCACTATATATGCCTCTTTATCCTTCTCACCTTTGTTATAGTTCTTATGTATTACATCTACATATACCAAATATCCATTTAAATGATGTAATACATTTGGTTTTATACAACTAAATAGGGGAAGCATAGTCTACTGTAAGTACTTAAATAGGTTTTATTTTGGTTTCCCTTTAATTCCTGATATCTCAAGGGTTTTTATTTTTTATTTTTTTATCATTGTTCAATTACAGCTGTCCCCATTTTCCCCCCGTTACTTTTCCCCACTCCACCCACCCCCATCTCCAACATTCATTCCTTCTCTCACTCTTGTCTTTGTCCATGGATCCTCTGTACATGTTCCTTGGTAACCCTTCCCCTTCTTTGCCCCATCATCCCTCTCCCCCTCCCCTCTGGTTTCTTTCTATCTGCTTTTTTCCTCAGTCTGTAGAGCTTCCTTTAATATCTCTTTTAGAAGAGATTTTTTGGCACTGAATTATCTTAGTTTTTCTTCATCTAAGAATGCCTTTATTTTACTTTCATTCCTGAAAGAAACTGTTTTTACTTGATATAGAATTATTTGTTTACAGGTATTTTGTTTTTTATTTTTCCAGATCATAAAAAATGTTATTACACTTCATTGTGGTCACCAGGGTTCTAATGAAATAATTATAGTAGTTGAATATTTTAATCCTCTATAATTAATGTGACATTTTTCTATGGTTCTTAGGATTTTTTTGTGGGGGGTAGTTTTCAGCAGTTTGATTGTGGTGTATCTTTGTGTGGACTTTTTTGTTCCCTCCACCACCCTTTAGCCTTCACTCAGTTTATTTAAATTGTTTTTATCTTTTGACAAATTTCCATTAAGCACACCTTTTTCTGACAAAGAGAACTTCTGTATTTTGCCATGTATAATGTATTGCCATGTACAATGTGCACCCATGTTTTGGGCCCAAACTTTCAGGGAAAAATATCTTGTTTAATATTTTAATTCAATTATTTATTTATTTCTATTTAGAAACAAAACCAACTGTCATATTCCTGGGTATTATTTTGCATATGGATATTGTCATTGCTTTCTAGAGTTACACCTTTCATGCATAAGTATAAATAAAAGAATTAAAAATACTTTTTTTCCTTTTTTTGCTGTTGGTCAAGTACATTTGTCTCCATTTCCCCACCACCACCTCCCACTCTCTATCCTATTCCCCTTTGGCTTTCTCCGTGTGTCCTTCATACATGTTCCTTGATGATCCTTCCCCTTCTTTTCCCCATTATTCACCTCCCTCCTCCCCTTCCTCTGGTTCCTGTCAGTTTTTTCTTTATTTCAATGAGATATGACATTAGTACTACCCATGCATAATATGCATCCTTATTATTCCCTCAAAAATCTGAGCAAAAAGTGCTTATTACACATGCAAAATACGGTACTATCCAAATCTGGTGATTATCAAAACCATCATTTTTAAATATATTTACTACCTGAATGTGTGCCCTTAAACTACATATAGACATATGTGTAGATACCATTATTAAGATATTTTAATGTAACTTATAATGCTGTTGTGACTTGCTTTCTGTGCTCAGTTTTATGTTACAGAAGTTGCGTCTATGTGCTGCCTGACACTTCATTTCATTACTAATCTTATCCCATTATGTGAATATACCACAATTTTTACATCTAGGTTTTTATGTTGATAGAATTTTCTGTTATTTGAACAATCTTGTGCTGAACATTCTTGTACACATAAAACTCCTGGTACACATGGACAAGAGATTCTCTAGGGCTTTATACCTAGGTATAGGATTTCTGAGTCATGCTTTCTCTTCTTGGAAATTATCTTTTCAAATATCTTGTCCATTTGCCTACTGGACTGGTTTTCTTACAGAATTGAAAGATTTTTTTAGTCCTACTGAACACTCATAATCATATACATGGATATGGAATGGGAAAATTATTCCAGATTATAGTTTATTTCTATTCTTTTTGTCTTTTTGTTATACAGAAGCTCTTAATTCAATGTAATATAATTTTGCTTTTTTTTCTTCATGGCTTGTGTATTTTGTTACTTTTTATTTGAGGTTAATTTGTATGAGTTCTCTTTG